GTGGTGGACTGTCAATGTCATCTCAAACAGTTTGAAACTTTCTCTTTCAAAGTGATTTTTGTCCCTGAGCTGTAACTGTACCGGTATATTACCTGAAATCACAAATTTTAAAGACTAGCATTTAGCTAACATGTATTATCAGTAACATTAGCTGCCAACTTTAGTGATCATGAAGACTAGCATTGTGCCAAAGTAAAATATCAGTAACATTAGCTGCTAACTTTAGTCATCATAAAGACTAATGCAGTATTCACGTGCTCCTGGGATGGTCCCATTTCCCAAGTTGTGAATTCGTTCTTCCGACTTTGGTGTCTTCATGTGCTTTTAAGTCTGAAAAAGTCTGAAACTAATAAAAAAAACATTCAACTAACATGCAAAATATCAGTAACATTAGCTGCTAACTTTAGCAATCATAAAGACTAGCATTGTGCTAATATGTAAAATATCAGTAACATTAGCTGCTGCCTTTAATAAGATTAGCTGCTAATTATAACCATAATAAAGAACAACATTCAGCGAACATGTAAAATATCAGTAACTTTAGCTGCTAACTTTAGCGATCATGAAGACTAGCATTGTGCTAACGTAAAATATCAGTAACATTAGCTGCTAACTTTAATCTGAAAAAAGCCACATAACTAGCATGTAAAATATCAGTAACATTAGCTTCTGACATTTATAAGATTAGCTGCTAATTATAACCATAATAAAAACCAACATTCAGGTAACATGTAAAATATCAGTAACATTAGCTTCTGACATTTATAAGATTAGCTGCTAATTATAACCATAATAAAGACCAACATTCAGCTAACATGTAAAATATCAGTAAGATTAGCTGACACAGACTTTGTTGCGTGATTGTTGGGGAAGTGCTTGTCAAACGATGATTGACATTTAGAAATGTTTTACTTTCTGGGTACAAATGCACAAAAAGGAAGTTTTGAAATCACAAGTTTACCGTTGATGCTGTCATGTGTGACGCATCAGCATATTGTCATTTTCCAGAGCTGATGTTTGGGTTTTGTCTCTAAGTGACAATCTGCTACTACATTATGGCTTAATGCTATTCTGTATTTTTCTGAAGTTTCCTCTGCCACACAATGAGTGTTAGTCTTGATAGAAAAACACAATTTAAACATATTAAGTAAATATTCTCCTATTGAATGCTCCAACCCAAAGGAAGAAACACTGCTGAGTGGAGGAACATTTCATTTGAGCATTTCTAAAAAATCCTTCCCATTTAGAAATGTCAAGTTTCCCTTTTCAGTTAATGATTTAGCTGTCTTCTACATGAGGTTTCAAGAAACTAAATCAAATGTAATTTCGTCTAATTCTCAGTGACATCCACGTCATACTACGTTGCATTGTGAGGAATAAACACATACCTAAACAACAAAAAGGTCAACTGTTAAGTGTCCCACAATAACATAAAAGACCATTTTACAAAACAACATAAGCCCATTGGAAAGTACAACACAAGACTTTTGGAAAGTATGACATATTTGACCGTACATGTAAATATGTAAAGTAGCTGTCCAGCAACAGGTAAACCGGACCTTCAGTAGCCTATGTTGTTTAAGTGACATGACTTTTAACACTTAGATTACACATTTGGATAAAAATATGTGCATTATATAAGTCATGTGCCTCAAGTCATCTATAAAATGTTATTTAAGTTCAAACATGTCAACTTTGACTTTCTTTCTCACTGGGCTTGAACCTTGGTCTTCCAAGTTAAGTCCTGAGTTTAACGGACTCATTCATCCACCTTACCATCCCCTTACATGGACTTTGTCTACGTCACCCGACTAATTTTGCCACTACAGGTCACGGACTAACAAAACACGTAAATATGGGTCATAATAATCTGCTGCATCACTGACCTATATGGCTGTTTCTCTGGTGTGGACAGGCTGTGAGGATTATGTTGCAATGAACATACTTCTGATCAGTGTTCTGCGTGATGCTGCTTGGTAGCTCTTCTGTAGGTGTAAATGAAATAACAGCTGTAGCAGGGCTGCCAACTTTTCAATTTAGTTTGGAGTGAGATTTGGTTTTAGAGGTTGGTTCATTTTAGACCTTCTGTGTCATATCCCACTGCAGGGATCGAGGGTCATCACTCTTTAATCCTGCATGCCACAGCCACATGTACGTGTATATGAAAAGCCAAGTCAATAATCATGGTCAGATCAGTGTGATCAGGATACGTGCAAAGCTCCAGACATGATAGCCTTAATTTTGACCAACTTTACCATGTATTGGGGAGTCTTCCCCCCAGAATCTGTGTGACAAAACTAGAGACTGTGTTTCTTTTAATTCTAGCGAATGTATGGAATATTATAGTCTAGTTCATAATAAGAAAGAGCGTAGGTTTTCTTTTGAGAGTGGGGTTTGTCGTGGAGATTGTATCTTGCTGGTGAGGGATTAATCAAACAGTTAAGTAACAACCAACCATTTTCTTTGAAGAATTTATAAATAAAAGAGAATAAACAGAGAAGTACTAAAACACATATACAGCTGGTCCAGAGACCTGCTGCCTATAGCTTCGGGCGTCTGGCCCCGAGCAAAGGGATGCATCATCATTTATACAGTCTAGATTTCTATGTTTTAGGGAACAGAGAGGAACAACAAGAGAGGAAAACACCAAAACAATCTCACAGCTCTGACCTAAACCCTAGTAAATGTGGACGGACTAACATAAGGAGTATAGGAGAGGAAAGGTTAAGGATTTAACACTTTGTCTCCAGCTTTATGGTTAAATTTTCTGCACCAATTTATGAATAAATAAAAATAAATGTTTTTGGCTATGTCAACAGAAACACAAAACTCAGGCAGCAGGGGACAATATAAAATATAAATATACCAGAATATATTTCAGTAGGTGTGTGGCTTTCAAGCATTCTGTATTTCTTTTAATTTCATGAGTTAGGCTTCTCTCCCCTTTGTGTCTTTGTTTGGGGAAGTTCCTCTTTAAACCTTTTCACCTCAAGGATAAATTAATTCATTTTAAGTCAGTTAGAAACTCCTGGACTGAATGTTCAAAACTTTCTGCATATCCATCCCACATAACCTGACATCCCCAGAAAGAGTTTTATGAGAATAACGTCATCATTTAATCACAATTTATAATATTTTTCTAAATCTCCCCGCCCTATAATCTGCTGTTCATTACTTGCTCTGCTGATATGATAGAATCCCAGAAAAACAGACACAGAACCTGTTTAGTGTTTAGTTAACTGTATAGATGAGACCTGTGCAAAATGAAACTAACTGAAAACACTTCAGCACAAATCCTCACGTTAACTTCAGCAGCTCTGTGCAGCTCACATTCCCAACAGAGCAAGGCTGTGTTGTTCATGAGCTACTTGATCCTACTACTGAAGGGCTTGATTAATAATTACCAAGTTTATAAGCTTAATCATTGATCTGATGTGAATTTAAGTTTAAAAGGGGCTATATGTAGTTTTTCAATGAAATTACTTATTTATAAATCACTTTTTTACTTCCTTTTTGTCAATGGGCTGCAGCCTCATGTAGAAAAGCACTTTATTTGTTTAAAGTGTTTGCAAACCACAGTATTGCACTGTTGTGTATATAGCAGTACATTTAAATTAAAAGTGCGCAAGAGAGGTAGAGTGTTTGGGGGTGCAGCAACCCGGTCAAGATGTAGAAGGATGGTGCATTGCTTAAAATGTTTTGGAACCACTGCCTTGAATGAGACATTTCCATCAACATCACTAGCACTAACAGAACTCATTGAAGAAATCACAAACTCCACAGAAAAAAAGAAATATGCAGTTGGGGTATTCAATGATCTAAAAAAAGCATTTGACACAATAAATCATGAAATATTAATCAGTAAACTGGAACGAAACGGGATCAGGGGGGTAGTTCTAAACTTGGTAAGCAGTTATCTGAGAGACAGACAACAATTTGTGAAGATGGGAGATTATTCGTCTGAATGTCTGGGCATGGCTTGTGGTGTCCCCCAGGCGTCAGTGTTGGGACCAAAGTTATTTTTATTATATATCAATGATATTTGTAAAGTATCTGTACTGTAGTATTGAATTTTTTATTATTTGCAGATGATACAAACATATTTGGTTCAGGCGACAGCTTACAGCAACTCTTCGAATCAATCACTTCAGAATTCAAGAAAATAAAAGAACGGTTTGACATAAACAGGGTATCAATAAATTTGAGTAAAACTACATTCATGGTATTTGGAAACTGTAAGTCAAACAATCAAGTACATATACAGTAGGAGTGATCATAGATGACAAGATTTGCTGGAAGCCTCATAAAACACATCAAAACCAAACCGTCCAGAAGTATTACAGTCCTAGCAAGAGCTAAGCACATTCAGGATCTTAAATCACTTCACATCCTGTACTGTTCACTATTGTTACCTTATTTGAATTACTGTTTAGAGGTCTAGGGAAGCACTTATCAACATTCACTACAGCCACTAGTCATAATGCAAAAAAGAGCCATGAGAATCATTCACAACGTCGGATTTCGGGATCATAAAAATTTATTATTTCTACAGTCTAAATTACTAAAATACCATGATCTAATTTAATATCAAATTGTAGTATTCACGTTCAAAGCAAGAAATAACCTACTGCCTGGGAATATACAAAAGACGTTCTCTGAGAGAGAGAGAGAGAGAGAGAGAGAGAGAGAAGGTACGATTTAAGGGGAAGGGGAAATTTTAAGACTAATAGATTTAGAACAACAAGGAAAAGATTATGTTTATCAATTTGCGGAGTTAAATTGTAGAACAAACTCAATGAGAACCTAAAGCAATGCCCAAACATATTCCTATATATATATATATATATATTTTTTTTTTTATTGTTATTCTTTATATACTTTCTCTTACAAGTTCAAAATAAAGATTTCAAGTCAAAATAATCACAATGTTTTACTCCTTAAATCTTTATTGCAAAAAGAAGAATTAAGTTTACATGGGACATAAGAAGTATTCAGAACAGCATACAAATATATAAAGGAGACATGAATAATAACTTTACCAGGGGTAGTCATTATTATATAAAGATATTAAAAACAGGACCATATGTTGAGAGTTTTCACAGATTTAAATTGAGGACAAATCGCCACCACACAAAAAAACACGAACCTCTCCCGGTGCCTCCCTGTGCTAAATGTAACCACCCCTACATGTAGATTCACCTGCCCAAGCTGCCCAGTACCTTCAAAACAAAAACCCAAATAAGTACTCAAATGAACTAAAATAATAATATTAAAGTTATAATCAAGCTAATTCTTTAAGTCAAAACAGCTACAAAATAAAATAATATTTAATTAATAAATGAAATCACAATTAAAGGAGTAGCTCAAACACATTTATTATAAAGTACTTATTTCGGTCGAGGAGCAAGTGAATGCACAGCGAGTCATTTGTTGCAGTTTGAAACCCTCACCACTAGATGCCACTAAAACATACACACTGAACCTTTACAAGAAAGATATTCGCACTGGGGCTAATCATACTCACTGCTGGTGTAATGAGTAGCCAAATTTGTATTTAGTGTTTGATTATTTTAGTATATTTTGATGCTAATACGTTGGTACTTCCAGTATTTGATAATGAGTACTTCCACAACAGCTGATACGTCCCGGTCGGGCCTGATTCTGACAGATCGTGAATACTAAAGCTGACGCAGCTCTCACTTTCTCCTCTTCGTCTTTCCTTCTCATCTGTCTTTGTAATCTCAAACATTTTCTTTGTATGTGCTTATGGTGTGTGTGTGCGTGTGTGTGTGTGTGTGTGTGTGTGTGTGTGTGTTTTTGCATGTGTTTATGTTGTGTGTGTGCGTGTTTGTGTGTACTTATGTTGTGTGTGTGCATGTGCGTGTGACGGACGGGTATCAGCATGGATTAGTGAGTAAAGGTAAGCGCGTGTCTCTCCCTGTCGAGGCGGATTTCCATCACTCTCCTCTTCGCTCCGGTCGCACACACACCGACCCGGTCTGAACCGTCTCCTCCTCCCCCCCTCCGACCCTCCCGCTGCCGTCTCGTGGCGGCGTAGCACTCCGCACGCCTGTTTGTGTGTGTGAGAGTGTGTGTGTGTGTGTGCGGTTGTTTTTTTTGGTCTCAGACCGTCTTGCGATGCCATTTCTCCCCCAGGACGCGGAGCGATTCGATGGGCTGTCTCTTCTCTACTGGTAAGCTAATTCCCCCGCTGCTCCTCCCCTCCTTCTCTCCGTCTGTTTTTCTGTCTCGTGCTGCTGCAGGAGCTCCTGCAGGAGGTGAAATAGGTTTACAGCCTGTTTACCGGCAGATGCTCTCTGACTTTAAGTCCATGCATGTGCGCAGTTCTGGGTCATGCGTGTCAGAGCTGTTTTAAAGGCACCGACAGTTTTATTAACAGAACATTCAGTTCAGGTTCTGTTTCTGAGACTTTCTGCTTTTCAGAGCTCAGAGGGACATTGTGTTTGTTTTTTTACTTCACTCCATTTATCTTTTTTTTTTAAATAAATATTTTACCTTTAACTTGAGACACACAAGGCTGCTGTCAGGCAAATCTCCTGTATCTACCTCCAATATTTAAACTTTTCAGGAATTCTGAAAATGACCATGTGTCCTCTCAGGCGGTGACTTTTAGACATTTATCTAAGGAGTTTTACAGGATATTTCTCAGTGAAACTGAAACAGTTAGTCTAGTAAGATATTCCAGTCTACAGGTATGATAACTGATCAATGGCTTCTTAATCAAGCAGCCTACAAATGTCAGACATTCTCTGGTTTCAGTTAAGGATTTGCTGAGGGCTCGAGACTAACGGCGTCCAGGGTTTCCCACAGAATGATAGTGTAACTGTGGCGCAGCAACAAACAGCGTGCTAGCCTAAAAAACCCAGCTGTATTCTAACATTAACTTAGCTCTCCTTATTAGCTAGGCTCCTTACATGCTTGCTAATAACTTTTAATAGCTGGGTCTCCGACATTGACGGCGTTGTGCTGCACAGATTTGTGCAGCTGTGTTCATGAGGGAGAGAGAGAGAGAGATCAAGGGACGGATGAGAGACGAGCGAGGGGATGTGCTGCGCGAATACGCGCTGCCTGCAGCTCTGCAGTCAAATACGATTTTAAATTGGCCTAGTAAAACAAAAAAGTCATAAATCAATATGTGGCGGACCGCCACAAATGAACGTATGGGAAACACTGTCGTCCTGGGGAATACAGAAAATGTGTTTGGGACGAAGAGAAATATTCTGTAGGACGCCTCTGGGACGAAAGGGATCATGTAGACCTCTGTGTTTATTTATTCCGATCACTTAGCAAAGGATAAACTGAACCAACCGAGCGCTGACGACAACGGAGGCCGTCTTCTCACGCCGTTACTACAGTCACGCCGGACTCAAGCAGGAGGCCTGCTGCTCACCTGTTCCCGCGGTACAGATCCAGCTGTCCTCGCAATCGCGCTGTGTAGGCTAACGTTAAGCGCCACACATCAATCTTCTCACGCAGTGAAAAACAAACCTATATTGTGAGAATGTCGACTAGCGTCGAGAATCATCTCCATCCAGCTGATGCAACTCTGCATACAGCGTGATCGTAAAGTGACTCAGATATAAGTACAGAAATACTCCTGCATTTATAAATGTACTTGAGTAAAAGATAGTATTGTACTTAAAGTACCAAACATAAAAGTACTTATAATGGATTACTGTATTATAATAATTGATGACTTGATGTGTAAAAGTGGCGATACTACTTTTAGGGATCTTAATTGAATAATCTGAATCTGCAAAGTAGATAAATGCAGTAGATTTTGCCTCCAAAATGTTTTATAGAACAAAGTACAATAACAAGGGAATATCCAAGTGAAGTACATGTATCTCAAAATTAATGCCTCCAATAGAGAGACTGCGAAGAGGCTTTAGCTGTAAAATAACTCCTCAATCAGCTCACCGACGATTGATCTTTTCTCATCCGATCAGTCAGCGATCCTGTTTGAATTGAAGCTGGAGCAACATCCTGCGACTGCTGATAATCTGTCAGCATATGAATCAATCCGCATCACTCATCTCTGTGAAAACAGCCACCGCGCTTCACCGCTGGGACTCTGGGCTTTTCATTTTCCTCTCTGGTTTTTCCATTTGACACATGAACGTACGAGGAGGGCCGCAAACAGACGGGAGGAGATTAAATATGTAAAGAGCAGACAGCACCAGGGGACACTTCTTCACCATTTGTTACCAAAAACTGCTGCCATCATGTGGGAAAACCTCATAACACAAAACACGCGTTATTTTCATGCTGGGTTTGGACGTTTACCGTTTTGGTCTGATGGAACTCCTTTAAAAAACAGATAACATGAAAGTTAAGCTAAAAAACACCTTTGAAATGTTTTCTCATGTCCCCATCGCGGGTCTCAAGAAGGTTGAGAACTTTTGACACAAAGTCTCGCTATTAAAAGACAATTATTCAGTGAAGACCGTGATTAAAACCTCATATACTTCTCTGCTGATTTATTCCCTCAGTAAACACTTTCCTGATGAGTTTCTGGTCTCAGTCGCTAGTTTCAAGTCTTCTTCAACACAGCATGATGTTCATTTAGTAAATTATGGTCCCATTTAGAGGAACATAGACCAGGAAGCAGGGGAGGCTTTAGGGCGGGGCTACAAGCTGATTGACAAGTTGTCAATCAGGATAGAGGTGACTTGTATCCGCTGCTCTGTGTAGAGTTTTCATTATTTATTATGGCTGTCTGCAGGAGAGAGAGCACCTCATGTTTGAGTCTGATAGTATGTTTTGTTTTAACAGTAAATAGTTTTGTTAACCTTTTTATAACTGTGATTACATTTTAGTTTAGTTTATATCCTGGATATATATATATATATATATAAATAATAAAAGTATATAAAAGTCTTTGGTTTTGTTGCAACATGATAAATAACTTTGGATGAAAAATTAAAAATTGTCTTCGGGCTGTAAGTGTCAAATCGACTGGTCCGATGGGGCCAGTTGAAAATAAAGAGCTGAGCTCTGTGGTACCTTGTATTTTTAATAATAAGCAAAAAACTTAAAATAACCAGAGGTTCAATTATACAGTTCACTTTACAGAAACGCCTCAGTTTCAGTCATTAACAAATTATTTATTTTGTCACCTCTCTGTAAGGTTGAAACCACTGAGCTCTTTTGACTACCTCTATTTTTCAGCTGGGCTAAAATCACTCATCTTGTTTTCTTGCTGGTGTACCCTATTATCAATAACTCAAAATCTCAATCCTCAATCTTCACATCTGTTGGATAACTATAGTAAAGAATACCTGTTTCAACATTGTCACTTCTCACGTCAACTTAATAATCGTTCGCTTTTCACTGTATGAGCAGTCGCCAAAATCACAATAACCAGGACACCATAACACACCATATAAACCGTGTGAATACTCAGTTCTGCAGAAACCAGGGATGCGTTTCCAAACAGGATGAGGAAGGTAATTGTCCATTCAAAGTCCAAAATAAAAAAATTTGAGTCTGGAAGTGTGAGGTTGCACAAGTGGTGCTGGAGTGTTAAGGTGGTGCTTAGTGCATTTTATGCTGGTTGTCCGACCGCCATGGCAGGACAGGGGTCTTCAATCCAGGGATCTCATCTGGGTTGGTTCGCCATCAACTTTAACTCAGCTCAAAAGAAAAAAAACTTGGCCTGCAGTCATCCACACAGCCAGAATAGTTACTATTCTGTTAGTTATAGTTAATTTTACTCAACAGCCTCTTCAAATGTGTTCCTCAAGTGAGTGTTCGTTCCTTTAATGTTCACCAAATGCAACTGGAGCAATCAACATTTTTTAAATGTACCTTTTACGTCAAATTAATTACTGAGTAAAATAAACCCAAGTTTCTATTTTAACTTCACACTGCTTACATGTTTTTATATGTAAAAGAACAACGTTGCAGAAATTAAAACGCAGTGCAAATGCAACAGGTTCACCATGAACAATGAAATAAAAATGTCTGACAAAACATAACTTAAGTTCGCATCAAACACGGCACAATGAAACACTATCCTTGACATTTCTACACTCTCTCAGTTGAGTTGTCAAACAGATTAACTTTAGTTGAGGCTGATTGCGCTCACTGCTAATTCTGTTAGCTCTAGGCCCACGCACTTGAACCTGCTAGCTTAGCACTAGCTTAGCCTAGCATCTCATGACGCAGCATTTAATTTTTATTTTTTTTTACCGCGACTCACCGATTCAGGGATTTCTGTCTGTCATCCTGCAGGTTTCGGTGAACAGGGCCTCACACATGCACTCACCTGCAGTCTGAAAACTAAACTCTGTCAACTTATTTCACAACTTATTGAAGTTACACTTTTATCTGAGCTCCGTTTGTAGCGTTCAGCAGCGGTGGCGCGTGCAGTCCAGCCTGCTTCGGTAAACACGCGCTCTGATTGGCTAACGCACTTCCTTGTTGTTAACCCTTTGTGACCTGGGGCCGGTTGCACAAAAAGCCTTAAGTTTATTTCTTAAGTACTTAAGTAAGTCTTAATTTACTTAACCTGTTGAAAACAGGCCCCTTTTTCCAGAAAATACGCCTAAAATTACAAACCCAAAATTATTCCGTAATATCTCCTCAACCATCTGGCCTAGATGCATAATTCTGGTCTCCTTTGAAAAGTCAGAAGCTAAGGAATATGGATCCATTGTGTATTAATATATTTATTTTACTTTTACAGACTACATGGAGATGCAATAAAGAAAAAATCTGAAATTTTTAGCATCGCCTGGTATAAAAAGCTATATTTTAATGCAATAAACCATCCTGAGGAAGCTTTTAATACAACTGAATATCTTCTAATACACCTAGAATGCAATTGTAACTATAAATCTGATGGAAATAAACTAAAATATGGTGCTCCGACATAGACTATGCATATTAGCAAGTTATGGCATAAGAGAGAAAAGTGTTAATAGCCAATTGTAACTTACATGGTGATCGATGTCCTTTATCCGTCATGGTCAGTGATTTGTTTTTTGTTTTTTATTGTAGAAAATTCAACACTTTATGGCATATTTCAACAATCCAGAACATAAAATGGTGTTGAAACAGTATTAAATTATAGCCAAAAGAAAACAAACCAAAAGAAATTGTGGCTGTCTTATTCAGGTATCATAATGTGCGTCTGTATTTCAAGGATTTTGTTAAATGTGGTCAAAGT